TATAAACTAAATTAGTTAACATATTGTAGAGACAGGATGTACATCAAAGTTCAGTTTTATTTAGAGCCATGCATGGTAGTGGCCAAAAGTGATGCCTGGCCTAAAATTTTCATCTTCACCCTTTATTTACATATTATGGCAATTTTGGTATTGTAAGAAGTGTGTAGTTGGTCTTGGAGTCTATGGTTTTATTTGTGATAACACAGTGAAACATGCCAAATTGTGCAGAGATAATTTTTTGACAAGCTGCCATCCAAAGATATTATGACACATGCAAAAACAAGATAGAAGGTTATGTTGTAGTCAATATTCTGTGTAGTAAAATAAAACCTGTAGGCTAGTTTGCCTTGTTAGATAAAAAACGTAACCAAGTTTAGTGCGTTCTTCTTGTATGTTTAAAATAATTACAAAAATTATGTGATATTTGACATTTTAGATTCATTCATTATTACTGTATACTTTGGCAACAAAGTTAGTCTTGGGTATTTTATTAGACCTTTCCTTGGCTTATTTCACAGTCTGTGTTTCAGTAGCAGTATCGTGATTGTTCGGATGATCTTTTAAGCTTATTTGTTAAGTTATTGTCCATATTTCCACTGTATTTTGACCAAAATTGGTTCTTTTTGCATATATATCTGTTTTGCAAGGAGTAACTGCAACTTCATACTCAGTCTAAAATTGTAGTGCATCTTAAAAAAATTTATTTACTCACGTTATCTGGCAGTTGTCGTTTTTCCAACTAGACCAAAAGGCGACTATAGAAAAAACTATTGATTTGAGTAAGTTTGCACAGTGCATTTTTTAGCAATTTTTAGTTATAGTTGTGTAAACAATACATAGAAGATATGATGAAGTGAAGGCTGGAAGTTGGACTTGAAAAATAAGGGTGGAGGACTAGAATCCAGACACTACTTGAATCAATATATAAACTGGCAGGATGTCCAACTCTGAGACACAGTTGAACGACTGATGCATTTGCACAGATGTGAGCCCCCACTGATACAAAAAAACATCACTAAAAAACATGTAACCACATGTATGTGCACATAGACCAACAATTCAAATATTTAGCAGATTCGCTGTGTGAAAGGCTACTATTGTGAGCTAATGAAAGTCAAAACTTTCTTGAGCTTGAACACACTTTGAGATGTTTACTTTGCTTTTACTGTTAATGTCTCCAGCATTTATAGTTGTTTTTAGCAAAGCGCAAGCTTCATTTTTGTATTCACTCGTGTGTGTTTACTTGGCAGAGGCAGAGTTCAGTCAGTGTGGTCCCTTCAGCGCTGCACTCGAATGACAAAGACCACTGCTACTATTGTGTTTCTGCCAACTTCAAATGTTTTTCCAGCTTTTCCTGACCATTTTCTGTCTCTGAAAGAAGAAAATATATGCTTGTGAGCCAGCTTTCGCAAACTTGCGCGACCGATCTTTCTCACATGATTTGTGATATTTATGTAAAAAGAAAATGATCAGTTCATCCAAGGAGTTTAAAACAGAAATAAACACCACATATGGATCCTATAATATTCTATACACATCACAGAGCTTTCAGATCTGTGTGTTTATGAGTAAGCATGACATTGTTTGCACTGTGCTTGATATAATAGGATCAAATAGGCCAGTAATTGCTGACACGTGTGAAATATGAGGTTTCGTTGAATTGGTTCTTGGAACAATTCCGTCCTCCATATTTTTGGGTTGAGACTTGAATACCTCCGCCTCATGCCACCTGGTTAAATAATCAGATTTCACTGCAGCTCATCTGTCTGTGAGCTCCTTTGTCGTTTTGTGTCTCCGCTTTGTTCAGATGGGAAGAACTTTTTTTTTTGCTCTGTTTAACTTACCAATGTTTTTTTTTTTTGGGGGGGGCTGAGCAGCAAAAACATGTTTACTAACCTCAACCAAACCAGACTTTTAGTCTGAATGTTTTTGTGCCCTTTTTGCATAGGCATTTGTAGGAGTTTTCCTTCAGGGGGCTACATTTATGGGCACTGAGTATTATAATATTATTGTAAATATAATATATCATGCAACGTAATTTACTAATGCGGTGGTCAATTCAGTGGTATTTGCTCCATTATTATTTACCGCCCAATGAAAGCACGTCTTATCCGATTTGGTACTTGAATTTGCGCATTGTCCGTAAATCACCTTCAGAAATTTCCACTGCCATCTGCGTTTTTAATTGCCACATGCTTTTTTGCCCTAAATCCGAACCATAGGGAACTTTATTTGACATTCACTATATGTAGTGAGTGTTTTTGAACACTGTATATGCATGAATGTGTAAAATGTTCAGCATAATCGTGGGATGTCATGATATATAGGATGGGATGACATGAGCTGAGATGTCTATTATTTTTCATCCTTTTCTTTCATACGGACATCCACTCTGTTGTTGAATGAGACTCTCTTGACATTGTGCTAACGCATATCTTGTAACCGATGTATAAACATAATATTGACTACGCTGTCTGAACAAACAGATCAGATTTCATCACTTCAAAATGGACAGTCAGTTCTAAATATGAGATTTGTAAACCAAATTGCATTTGTGTGTAGTGTGAATAACGCTTTGGAGGTTTATATTCGGTTTCTTTCTAGTGTTGTGGTTCAACCAAAACATCCTTTAGTAAAACAATCATTTCAAACTTGTCAGATTTCAGGCTTTACAGTTGTGGCCAGGTTTTGTAAGCCTCTGCAGTTTATATGGGTCACTTCCGGCCACACTAGCCAAATCATGGAGAATGTTTCTGACATCGGAGAAGGATGTTTGTCCTGGGTGTTAAATGGAGTTTGCAACATTATGTAAGATTCCAAGGTCATGTTTTTGCCTCAGATGTCCTCTGCTGCATTGTCATATCACTGTGGTTGTAAGCAGATGGCATTTAAAAAAATAATAATTAATTTGTCTATTTGTGAATTTATTTATTTTTAATATTTGACATGCCATTGCCATGTGCTAAACTATTTTAAACTGCTTTTATCTAAATGTTGTGTAATCATTTTTTCACATATTAGTTGTCGTAGGGACAAAAGGCCTTTCAAAAATGAAATATATTTATCATTATTAATAATTTAACAATATACATTTTGAAAAATAATGTCCATATTGAGATGTCCACTCATGATGTACTCATAAGCTACTTTTATTGTAGCTGAGTGCAGTCTGGTTATGCCCTAGTTTTCTTACTTTGTAAAAACCACATCTTCAGAAATTCACAGGAGTAGTTTTACTTCCTCTGTAAGGAGAGGAAGTGTTTGTGCTTGTGTGTGTGTGGAGACAGGAAATTTATGTAAATTGGTGGTTGGGTTTTTCTTTTTCCCATGCAGGAAACCTAGTTTTCACTTCTGACTTCCAGTTGTGAGTTTATTGCTCAGACACCATATCACTACATAGCCTTATTAAAGTGAAGATACAAAGATAATTTATCTGTATTATACTATTGTTTTCGCCAAGGGACATCTTTAGGCCTGTTCACACCAAGAACGAGAATATATATATATATATATATATATGTATGTCCACACCAGGCAATATTGTTGTGTTTGTTCTAAATGCATGCTGCAGTTTTGTCGTCTGCCACTTTAAATGCTCAAGCTTTTTAAAGTTGGAAGGATTCTGATTGGCTGTCAATGTTTTTATCTTTCATTAGCTGGATATTTAGAACTTTATCGTTTATCTTTATCATTCTTGGTGTGAACAATCCTTTAGATTCTGTGAAGATTATTATTTTTTTCCTCATTTGCATGACACAAAGGCTGAGTCGGTGAGAGGGTTTCAAGCCAGTTGATGATGTCATTTGTGCTATAGGCCCAGTGCTGTGTTGTCACTATGAATGACTTTTTTCTTTTTATTTTGATCATGTACATTTTTTTATATTTCTTGAAACTTTAACATTTGGCCTTCTGCGATAGACTAAACATTGTTATTGTGAGATTGGACAAATTAAGTATGTCACCAGGTAATTTTCAAAATATAATAAAATAGAAAACAGTAAACATTTGCTTTAAAAATTGTAATAATATTTCACAATATTACTGTTTAATTGAATTAGTTTTATTTTTTGAATCACATTTGTGGCAATTCCTGGGAAATGTTGGCAGAGCAAGTAATAAAAACAGGCCAAACCAGGACTGTCTGCATTAAAACGTTGTTGTTGAGCCTTGCAGATTTCCACGGAATCCACCTTTTTCTGACTGGACGGTTTTCTACTTCCTGCTGTCCTTTTTTCACTAATTCTATCTTAAGTTCAATCAATGTTTCATCAACCACTTGCCTGGTTTAATAAATAAGAAGTATATACTGTAGTAAACAGATAATCATGACGGAGGCGATAGCGCAAACTGGACTTTGGTCTCATGAATGAAACTCGGCGTAACGTTATTATGGCTAACCTCACAGGCCTGAGTGAGAAATATAGACTATGCAAAAATTTTGACTAATTTGACCAAATATCAGCCCAAAAAACAATGTGGCTGGCATATTTGCCAAGTGTTTTACATTGTACAAGGCAAGCCAGACCCTAGTGCCTTCCCATTGGAGGTTGAGGCAAGTGATGTACAAACTATTAATATTGTTCATAGATGTAGAAGAGGTTTAAATATGTAGATTTTATTTTTAAAAGGCCATTCATAATATCACACACAATAGAAAACCTGTATCAATGTCAGCTTTGCAGTCAGAATGGAAATATGTTTTTAAGAGAGAAACAACCTTTAATATAATAAGGACAGAAACAGTTTGGAAACAGTTATTTTTAACTAGACCACAGGCTCCCAGCATGTTAAATGTATTCTTAAGTTTTCCTTAAGTTTTTGAAGCTTAGCGATCAGCTAACGTGCTGCTGAAACAAGTTTTGATTAATTTGCCTCTTTCTCCTCATCGTTTATTGTTGTCTCCCCTATAAAAATAAGTTTTCTCAAAGACAAGTATAGTAAATATTGGTGCATATATCTACTAAAATCTTACACTGCATTTCTACACTTCCTGTTGACAGGCCTGAGTGCTGCCAAGCTGTTGGTGGAGAGCGGCCTGAATCCTGTCCTCCTGGAAGCCAGGGACCGTGTTGGTGGAAGAACATTTACTGTTCAGGTAAGATACTCATCTGAATTCAAAATCAAATAAAATTACTTCATTTCAGCACAAATGGTCTGCTTCTACATGTGTGTTAAAGGTACAATATGCAAGATTTTTTCGCCACCAAGGGTCGCTAACCTCTTACAATAACAAAGGCGTATATTGATAACGTATATTCTGAATTAAACGGAATTTTTATGGATTAGTGAATACATTGATGTTTTTAACATGACTGTGGTATAAAGCAGTGCGCGATTGCTAGACGTACCAGCGCCACACGCAACGCGAGTCCCGCGGATATAAAGGAATAAGGACATTTCATTTTACCGAACTGCACGCAAGTGCTGAATAACTCACACAGGTCAGTTTATTTGAGGAATTAAACTTGAGGTAACGCAGCGCTGTTTCACTTGCTCTAACGGTTACACTATCACACTAAACGGGATTTGAGTGTGTTGAATGTTGTTAGCTAGGTTGTTTGTTGGCTGTATGAGACTAAGCTAGATTAACATTAGAGAATAACTTTGCAAATCATATTCTAACTTTTCATCATGTTGATTAGTTTGCTCACCATGCCCAACATTTACTCACCTGTTTAATAAAGTAACCTGCAACACTCGCGTCTCTAAGTCGAAGTTATGCTGCGTTCCAGGCAGGTTTTTGAACACGTAAATCACGACTTCAAACCACGACTTACGACTTTGTAGCATTCCAGGTCATTCACGCCAAACTACCTAGATGTAAACAGCATGGCGGACCTTGCGGGGCTCACGCGCGTTTGTAATATTTTCTAACGCCAAAGGTGCTTACTCGTTTATTTGTGGGAAACTGAGGAGGAAAAATAGCGCATGAGGCAAGATAAGCTGTTATACTCTTTATTTTACTTTATTTGTATATTTGGAAATGTATTTGGTATATATTTATCGTTGCACTCAATGGACTGAAAACTAGTTGACGTTATATTGTCCTAAAGTGTATTCTCACCGTGTACCGCCTGCAGAAACACTGCATAAGTAGGGGCTGTCATTGGTTCGCGGGCTATGTGACGTCAGAACTCGTAACTGGGAGTACATCGATCTAGTACGAGTTCACGGGTGGGAAGTCACGAGTTTGACTGCCGTTCCAGTGCACTTTCACGGGTATAAGGTTGGAAAAACACGAGTTACAGGTTGCCTGGAACGCGGCATTAGTCGCGGACGTGGAGCTCTCGGCATCTCATTGATCTTCGTTTTAGTCCTCTTTTTGTCTCAAAGTCTGCTTGCTATGGTCCATAATATTTGAACAAAACAACAACAGCGTATGCGTCCTTCTAGGCATAGCAGGAATAACCGACCCAGTTTTCTGTCGCCATCGTTACTTTTACCGTACGAGGTCAACCGGGGGTAACGTGGATATGACGCCATCGACTGGTGACTCCTCACCCCTGCTCACATGCCCTGTTTCCTTGGTTAAAATCGCAATTTTTTCACGATTTACTAATAGTTCAAAACATTTTGAATATTGTAAGTAATCAACTAAACAAAATAAATAACATTGTTCTAGTGTTTTTTGGATATTTTACTGCAAAAATCCTGCATATTGTACCTTTAAGGCTATAGTCACAACTAGGAGTGTGCGATATGTTTTGCTTACGTTAAAAGTTTTTAACAATGTGAAAGCTAAAAACTCGCTCCACACATTTACTGTGATGTTGCCTATTAGAAAAATCGTTGCATTTAATTAGGTCGCTTCATTTTTCAGAATTTAAAAAATATTGTACAATACTATAAAATACTATAGTATTGTAAAAAAAATTCTGTAAGATACTACAGTATTTTAAAAAATAAGTGTATTTTTAAAATGTTATTTATGTAATTGTAATTGCATTTATGCCACTTTTGAGCTGCATTCAACAGTTTGTAAATACATCTAAATGTCTCTTAAGATCCTTCAGCTTCTGTGCTATTTCTTGCAGTGCAAAAAAGAATTTAGTTGATGCTGATTAGAATTGATTGGTAACAGCCCTATAGTTATAATTCAATTGAATGATTAAACTCTTACCTCTTACCTCTTTTGGAATCTTAATTTTTTAAGAGGGTAAGGGAGCAAATATTGCGCCTTAACATAAACGTTCACACTGCTGCAAGTCACCGTTGTGCTGAATATGAAGAAAATGAAAGTTTCTGAAGTCAGCTGTCTATGACATCCCTAAATCAGTCAAGGTTCCTGCTCAAAAACACACTCAGCAAAATTAGCTTATTGCTATAAACAAAATCGCCAATACATCAGGATTTAGTCAATGTTGGACACTCTTAGTCAAGTCTTTCTTTAGGTGCACAGGCTGGCATCCCACTGGAGGATTTTTTCCTCCCGAATTTTAGTCATGAACTTCAATTACAAAGTCTTTCGAGTCAAGTCGGATGCTTGCCCCCACGGCTGGTTTGACAACGGAATGGCGAAAAAAATCTAAATCGAGTTTCAAGTTGGCTAGTGGGACACTGCCTATGCATGGTCCGAAATCTCCTGTCTTTGCGTGCATATTCTACCACTTTCTTTTTTGTTTTTTCTTTCTTTCAATTTCATTGTTAATCCTGCACAAATGTTGCCTGCTTTCAGAATAAGGAGACCAAATGGGTGGATCTGGGAGGAGCGTACATCGGGCCCACTCAAAACCGCATCCTGAGGATAGCCAAACAGTACGGGGTGAAAACATACAAAGTCAACGAGGAGGAGTCTCTGATTCACTATGTGAAGGTAAACCTCAGTGAAGGCATACACACCTAGTAGCTTGGACGAATTACCAAATCAAAGGAAAAACAGCTACAACATTCAAAGCAAGATTTTTCCTCTGCCAGAGCTCCAGGGCAGAGCTTCGGATAATAATACAGTCTTTTGTTTGAGCACACTCATGTCTTAATGCACAGGAAGTCAGAGCTAGGCCCAGTGCACTCAGCTGAACAAGGCTGAATACAGAGTCTCTCCTTCACATTAGCGTGCTGTGCTCAAGCCTGGAGATGCTAATCGCTGCCTGAAGGAAGTCTGTAATATGGTTTCAGATGCTTGGAGTGGGTAAGAAGGGCGGAACTCAAGACACCAGTCTCCCCTCCTCCTGCCTATCCAATTTGAGTAGACACATCACTGCCCTTAGCACATGCACACTGCATGACCTTATTAGATTTGGCTGTAGATTTAGTGCCTTCTCTGCTCTGACCCGGCTATTACCAGGATAAATATCTGGATTCTCAGAACTGCTGTTTATCATGTGAGCTTTACTGCTTTCTGTGGTATATTCGTAAGACAGATACTTGAGCTAAATCATAGAGCTTCTTGAAATGGAGACCGGAAAACTGACAAGCTCACACATACTCAGGAAGGCGGTGTGCACAATGGTAAAGGTCATGGTGAGGATTCATTGGAGTCTTCATTGTAGATCATGTCAGAATGGAAACAGATTGCAGTTGCCATGGAAAAGGCCCTTTAGCATATTTCCCATAATCCTGTACTTTGCTTCGCAGAATAGTTATCCGTGTAACGCCATACTATCACATCTCTTTATCTATACATTATCTATGTGAACATTTGGTAGATGCTAAGTACAGTATTTATAAGTTCTGAAAACCAATATCCTATATCCTCTCAATATTAAAAATCAAGAGTTTGGAAGTAGTAGAATCTCACTAAAGGGATGGTTTTCCAAATAATGAATTTTTTTTGTTCCAACTGGTATGACTGTCATTTGACATAAAAGTAAGACTTTTGCATAATGTGTTGGTTGGTCCTTTCTATGCAGTTACAATAAAATATCATAAAAGTGGTCCAAATAAACATATGATGTCATATGATACTGTAGCTTGTGTTGTTTCAGTGGTCTATGAGCTATATGTACGCATAAGTTCTGCATTTGATGCGAGGATGCTCGTCAGTTTCCGGTTGGGGAGATTTAAAGCGGAGGAAAACCGTGTAAAACGGGATTATGGCAGAGTCTTCGAAATGTACTGTCCTCTCGTATTTGAAACGAAACTTTAATATGTTTAGATGTAAATTTATATATAGTTATGTTTATTTAATAAAATTTAAAAAAGAAGCATAAACAAAATGAGGGGTGTCTGTTTTATCTGTGTTTGTGACTAACGTTTCTTAAGAATAGCCATAGAGTATAAAAACCAATATAAATTCTCGGTATTGCATTGGACTCTATGATCGGCGGAAGTTATCGAGCATCCTAAGACCTTCACCGGAAATACCACCGTGCATAGAGCCCATTAAGCGTGGCAACATCACTGAGTCAGTGAGTTGAATTTGAGATCAGAGAACGAATCATTCAGGGGTGCGTTTCCCGAAAGCATCGTTAGCCAACTATGGTCGCAAGTTGGTCGCAATTTCCATTGAACTCTATTGGAAAACGACAGAACTTGCGACCATAGTTGGCTAACGATGCTTTCGGGAAACTCACCCCAGACCGGTTTTGTGAACTGAATATAACGATTGATTGAAAAGATCGGACCCCACAGAACGATTCGATCATGAATCAGACATAGCTACTTTTCCTTTAGATTTTCATAAACTCTTGTACTGATGTACAGCATGACTTAAGAAGACTTGGTACTGAAGACTCGAGAAGTGTATTATCATATGTACCATTTTTATTTGTATCAAAAATTTGTACCAAAAGTTTGGGTTGGGTAAGGTTTGAAAATGTTTTAAAAGAAGCCTCTTATGATCATCAAGGCTGCATTTAATGGATCATAAGTAAAAACAGTAATACTGTTGTTATTATTAATAATATAATTAATATTAGTATGATTATAATTTATAGTAACATCTTTGTTTAATCTGTCTAATGTGTTTTAAACGTTATTATTGTATACTATAGACAGTTATTATTGTCAATGTTGAAACCAGTTCTGCTTAATATTATTGTGGAAACTTATGCAGTTTTTCTAGGTTTTTTTGTAAACAGATAATACAAAGCAACAGAAAATGTACAAAATGTATAATACAAAGCAAATGTAAATTATTTGTAATGTTATAAATGTACGTTCTGTAACTTTTGATCAATTAAATGCAACCTTGCTGAATATATATATATATATATATAATTATTACTAAGCCCAAACTTTTGAACTGTAGTGTATGTTTCGGAAATTCACCTTTTTGTGCTCCACAAAAGAACATGAGGGTGAGTAAATGATCCTTGGTTGGTGTTCTTTGGTTTGTGCAGTTTGACAGCACAATCATGGTCAATGTCGAGCCAGGTGTTCCTTAAAGGGTTAGTTTGCCCAAAAATGTCAATTCTGTCAGTAATTACTCACCCTCATGTTGTTCCAAACCTGTAAGACTTTCGTAAGAAAACGTAAACCAATACAATGCCGCAAAATGAATGGCTTACCTTTCACACTTTCCCATCAAATGATTGTGAGCGTCATCTTCTCAGTTCTCACGCATGCATCGTTTATTTTTACCCAAGACACTAATGCAGAAAGAATAAGCAGAAGATGACACCAAGAAGACACCATGAACACATGTAGACATATGATCGATTTCAAGGCTTCATTTGTGAAGAATGCATCAGCATCTCAGAGGCACAATGATACTTCATGAAAATAAAGGAGAGGCTCAGAGCTTTGCTACATTTCAACCAATATCGTTATGGTCTTGCTACAGGCGGCTTTTTTGTAAGCGTTTTGATTTAAATAGAATGAATGTGAGCATGTCTGTCCTAATGATTAATGATGTGTGTGTGTGTGTGTTTGTGTTAGTGTATGTTCTGAAGGAGCCTTCCCCTCTCTCCTCATGCCATTATCTCCTGATCGGAGCATCCCTGTGGGTTACCATGGCAGCACTCATTAATAGACAATCGCTATCAGGATTAAGGGGATACATTCTTTCTCTCTGTCACGTTTTCTCACACCCTGACGTCTGGCTCTGTCTTTTGGATCAGGGGCGTTTCCCTCTCATTTTATCCCACAGAGACACAAAGGTTTTTGCCGTTGAGCTATAAGCAAATATCTCCTCAGAGAAGATTTTTGCTGGTGGTCACTAATTTGTGTCGATTTTCTAGCTTAAGTTGCCTTCACATTTTCTTTTTTGAGCTTTAAGCTAATATCTCCTCAGAGAAGATTTTTGCTGGTGGTCACTAATTAGTGTCGATTTTCTAGCTTAAGTTGCCTTCACATTTTCTGTTGTCTGGAGTATTTTTGCAATCAAAATCCAGTCATTTTAATAGGAATCCATAAGATCGTGAATTTTGCTTTTTGTGGCGAAAAATTTCCCCATGCAATTTTTCTACAGATTAAAAAGTTATGTACTACAACCTTAAAATTTGTCGTATTGCTACCGGTTCGGGTTTTTTTGTATGTGCTTTAAATATAGAGCTGTTTTGCTCAAGATACCTTCTAAGGAGGTTAGATATCAAATAGATTGATATCTAAAAAAATGTTTTCTTCTCACTAAAATTTAGATATTTTAATAAAAAAAACGGCAACAAATAAAAAGATCTAGCTAGGTTAGCTGATTACCTTAAAGGAATAGTTCACTTCAAAATTAAAATTTCAAAAATCATTTACTCAACCTCAAATTGTTTCAAATGTGTATGAATATCTTTCTTCTGCTGAACACAGAACATATTGATAACCAAAGAGTTGATGGACCCCAATGATTTTCATTGTACAGTAGGGGAAAAAATACAATGGAAGTCAATGGTGCCCATCAACTGTTTGGTCACCAACATTCTTCAAAATATCTTCTTTTGTGTTCAGCAGAAAAACAGGCTTGAATCAACTTGAGTAAATGATAAGATCATTTTCATTTTGATGTGACCTGTTCCTTTAAAAGCCCATAGATAAGGCTGTCAGTTCGTGCTGCCATTAACATTTTCTCCAGCAAGCAATGAGACCTGTTCTCCTGTTTGTTCATGTGATGTGATCCTTCATACATTGCTACACTATTAACAATAGACAGTGGAGCTTTTTTGCATGCGAAATTTTGCAAAAAACTGCAGTCATTTTGCTAATGTGACCGAGCCTTAATCGCTGACACATTAATTATTATCTCTTACTATCTTGACTATGTTGACTTTAACGACAGTGAAGCAATTCACCTTTTGAGTTCATCCAGGATGTTTATCAAAAGCCCCCTTTCTTTAGCTGAACTGTATTATGAAGGAGGCACATAGTTTTATCAGCCCCTCACGTAGTCAGGCACATTTGCTCCAAGTTTTACTACCGCTTTTATAGTATCACCTGTTACTCAGCAATCATGAATTGGCCTTGAGCCTGTATTAGCCAATAAGGGCCTTTCAACGAGCAGACATTTTATGATTAAGGTGAGCGCACAGCCAAGGCGCCTGTGTAATCAGCTTTTCTATAGCTGTAATCCTAAAGGCCAGACCCAGTTTCTGCATTGGTCCGTGAGCAACTCACATACTGTACTTACAGGCAGCATTAGCATATCAATAATTTGATTATGATTGAACAGTGTTGCAAAGGCAGTGTTGTTAGACGTATATTGTATATTTATTTGTTTATGCTCATTTTCCCTATATTTATATTTACATTAGTTCCCGTTCGAGGGAACTCAAACTGCGTCGGTGACGACAATAGGGGAACGCCCTTCAGCGTAGTGCCTCTGAATTTATGAATGAAATCGAATCCAATCCTATGGATTGTCGTCTCTCAAGGCGATGTATGTCCCGGGCAGTGTTGGTCAAGTTACTTGAAAATAGTAATTAGTTACTGATTACTGATTACTTCTCC